GAACGAGCCTGCCGACGTCCCAATATAGACAACGAAGACAAAGGAGGGGCCGTTCGCATATATATATATATATATTGTCACAAAATATCAGACAGAACCGCCCGGTAAGTTGTCCTCTTCTCGCTCTCTGCCTACGGTTTACCGGGCAGCTCTGTTTGACGATATATATATAAACAATATATAATTTAATATAAACAGTTTGTCACAGCCCCTCGTTTGTTGTCCTCTTCTCCCTCTCTGCCTACGGTGTACCGGGCAGCTCTGTTTGACTATATACATATCGTCAAACAGAACTGCCCCGTAAACCGTCGGCAGACAGACAGAAGCGGACAATATATATACATATATATAGTCAAACAGAGCTGCCCGGTAAACCGTATATATATCGTCAAATAGAACTGCCCGGTAAACCGTAGGCAGAGAGGGAGAAGAGGACAACAAACGAGGGGCTGTGACAAACTGTTTCGTCGGAGTTTCACCGACTCATATATATACTAGGCTAACAGCCAGGCCGCCCGGATCACCTTGTTTTCCCAGGCAGCCCGGCCGTGCAAGGACTAGGGAAGGTACCGGCAAAAATAAAATACAAAAAGACATCCGAAAATTCCCCAAAACATACTATGTTATGCAGAAAAATAAACTGACCAACTTTTGCCTCAGAGTCACATCGAAATTCTTTAACAAATTTAAAATAAAATATAACATTGATTTATTTATTTTTTTGCCCGGCCGGGCAAGTGGTCCCGGGCCACTCTGGTATATATACATCTATATATCGTCACAAACAGAACTTCCCGGTAAACCGTAGGCAGAGAGAGAGAAGAGGACAACAAACGAGGGGCTGTGACATATATATACATGTCTATATATAGTCAATATATACGTTTGACGATACATATATATGTCTATATATGCTGAAACAGAACTGCTCGGTAAACCATAAATGAAATAAATATAAATATACTGTACGGCAAGAACAGCATTTTCAATTTTGCGTGACAATACGTCAGATACACCCACCCACCCACCCGTAGTTCCACACTCGCACAACTTGAGCCAACCGAACCATTAGTACATTGCCAACACCAGGACATGAAAATCCTATACGATTTCAAAGACCATACCCTACTCAAGCCGGCGCCGCAAAGGGTTCAAACCAACCAACAAGTAGAACCCGAAGCAGCTGAAATGCAGGACTCGAGGCGAATCCTTTTTTTTTTTTTCCAGACATAGTACCTCCGTATATACCTACTCATCCCACTCCCAACCCTTCGGCTGAACACACCTACGAGGGGCTGTGACAAACTGTTTTGACGGAATTTCACCGACTCATCAGCAGGCTATATAGATACATCATCTATATATATATATAGTCACTATATATCGTCACTATATTATATATACATCGTCACATGAAAATATATATATATCGTCACAAACAGAACTCCCCGGTAAACCGTAGGCATATATATATCGTCAAATAGAACTGCCCGGTAAACCGTAGGCAGAGAGGGAGAAGAGGACAACAAACGAGGGGCTGTGACAAACTGT